TGCCCTGGGGAATTCTGGGAGTTGAAGTCCACTCATCTTAAAGTGGCCAAGTTTGGACAACACTGATTTATATGAAGTGAACAGGAATCTAAAGGCAACCCCACTGGTAGCAGTGGATTTCTTCATCAGTGAAGAGTTGTCTAGATGACATTTGAAATCCATTCCAATTCTTTCCCAGTCTGCCTGCAGGACAGAGTAAAACAGAACTAAGAGTAGAACAGAGCTATCTATGTATCCATGGATCTCTTTACACCAGTGTTTTGCCAGTTGTCTAGGCACTGGCCAGGTGCAAGACAAGTGGCTCCTTTAGTTCCAGAGACAATGAACACACCAGTAGGTAAGGAGATTTTAAGCTTTATTGTTGACTCTAGCAAACAGATTTAAGCAGGAATACAAGAGCATGGTATAAAAGCAAGATGATAAAACTCTTCTCCTACCACTGGAAGCTACCATAAGGTGACAGCGGAGAGATCCCAAGATGGCTTAGACAACACAAGGCCTGTGTCCACACTCCCAATTCCAGGAACAACGCCAGGGCTTTTTATCAAAGTCTGGCACTGCAATCCCGTGACTTGCTTTGGAATCAGGGACTGTGAGAGTGATCTTGACCAGATGTCATACCTGCTCATCAAAAGGTTCCAGAGCCTGGGAGCTGTAGAGATAAGCTTGTGCTTAACCTAAACAATCCTGAGGGTTTTGTCCCCCGCCCCACTTCTCAGTAAAAGTGAGAAACAAGCCAACTAAACATTATTATGATTCAAAGTGAGCTTTCTTAATATGTGCAGGAGAAATCAAACTCTGTCACTTAAACTCCTTGAAATAACAATGGTCTTCCACATTGCCACTACAGCCTGTGAAACCTATGAGTATATATTCTCCAGCAGCAGGGGCTGAGCCAAAAGCCTATGTATTAAGTGGATCCGAAATTGGGACGCCTTTTTTCCTCAAAGTCTGCTTGAAGTGTGAGAACATTGTTCCAAAGTAGCAACCAAGGTGATAGCCCACTTATCTGATGATTACTCATCTCTTATACAAAAGCATCCAGAAACGCCTTACTACTAAAATAATTGAGTTCACGGGTTGAATCTAAAGATGGTTTGGTAATAATTTTATGGCTGCCAAGAGAGATTTAATTGTAAGCTGTATCATAAAGATAGTCTGCAAGCATCCATATCTAGAAGATTAGAGTTTAAAAGAGTATAAATCTCAGTTAAAAATAAGACAGGCCTACATGAAGTAGGGGCATCAGTTGTCTCTGGCAGGCAAAAACAAAAATCCTTCCTTATTCTAGCATATGATAGCTGGGCAGATAAACAACAGTTCACCCCAAACTACCAAACCAGACCTGTACACTCTTTATGAGTCCAGGATAGAGGATATTATGGTTGCCCAACTAGATAGTGAGCTCCTCCCTCAATGGCCAGATGTTTTGGTGCCCAAAGTGAGTAGACTTAACTGGCACTTTAAATAAAATAGGGCTTTTGACAGTGAAATGTTTAAGTTCAACACTGACTGATGAAGCCCTGATTCAGCTTCCATTTTTTTATGTGGAAATGGAAATGGAAAGTGAAAATATACTGCAAGGTTGAGCCATAGCTATAATTGTTCCAATTTTTAAGAAGGGGGAAAGAGTTGATTCTACAGTACTATTGTCTAATTAGTTCTGAGTGCAATGGAGTTGGGCAACTAATGAATTCAAATAAAAAAAGTCTACTGAACATAGTTAGAAAGCTTTATGCTTGGGACTTAGAATGGAAGCTTCAAGAATCGATGGGAAAAATAACTGTTTTGGGCCTGGAATAGGCAGGCCTTAGATTTTGGCACTCTGCCACAGGTCATATTTTAGTCCTTTGATTGAGAAATATAGTGGCAAGTCTAGATCTTCCCCATAGGTAGCTTTTTCTGATTTAAAATAGGTATTTAATTCCATTTTGAGAACCTTCCTTTGGGAAAAACTCAGGTCAAAAACTGTATTGAAATTCTAGACTTAGAATAAGATGTAATTCACAAGATTCACTCTCAGATAAGTCTCTGTGCCCAAGAAAATCAGACAGGTCTGCATATTAGCACCTTTGCTATTCAAACTTTATATGCATTTGCTGGTAAAGAAGCTCACTGACCCAAATTTCCATCCCTCCAAAAGGTCTGCTGTAAATGTCAAACTTTTGCTGTATTCTGATGATGCAGATCATCTCAAGAACTCCGGTTGGTCTCAGATGAGCACTTAAAAGTTTGGTGCAGTTTTGCAGAGAAAACCCTTCTAGTAATCAGTTTTCAGAAAACCAAAATAATGGTCTTTGCAAATAAAACAAAAAACCTTACAGAGTTGGGATGTATAATAGATGGACAGGAGATAAGGAATTTCATATATTCAGGTATAGTGTTCCAGAATATGGGATTTAAAAAAAAATATTTTATTGGCTTTTATAATTTCATGGGCCCAAAGAAATGGTTTAGTGGTTTTTAAATTATTCTGCAAAAAGGTGGACAATGTATTTCTGCAATCTTGAAATTATTTGCAGCCAGACCACTAGTTCAGTTGCTGTACAGCTCCCAGACTGACCCCTGTCTAAATACAAGCCAATGGAAACAGTGCAAACTAAATTCGTAAGAAAGTTGGTTCAAGCACCTAATTCTGCATCCAGGACAGTCCTCTGTCTTGATACTGGACAGCTGAAGATTGAGGCACAAGCACAGTGGCTAATATTTAATGATGTTATTTCCCAACAGGGCAGATTCCTTTCATCTACAGGTAGTCCTCGACTTACGACCATTCATTTAGCAAGCATTTGATGTTACGATGGCACTGAAAACATGACTTACGACCGGTCCTTGCACTTACAAGTATTGCAGCGTTCCTGCGGTCACATGATCAAAATTCATGCACTTGGCAACCAGCATGTATTTATGATGGTTGCAGCATCCCAGAGTCACGTGATCGCCATTTGTCACTTTCCCAGCCAACTTCCAACAAGCAAAATCAATGGGGAACCACATGATTCATTTAACAACTGTGATGATTTGCTTAATGACTATGACAAAAAATGTTGTAAAATCGGGTGCAGTCACGTGATGCCTCGCTTAATGACTGCACTATTTAACAATGAGTTTTCCTGTCCCTACTGTGCTCATAAGTTGAGGGCTATGTGTAGTATCAGTCTTTGCAGCCTCAGGCAATTATAGGAAAACATTTATCATGTGGTGTTTGGGTAGTTTTTTTACATCTCTTAGAATTTATTCAGGCTAAGAAAAGAATTAGGGAATAGCTTTTAGATACAGAATATCAAAATAAGATTAGTCTGATCCCAGATCCATTTAGCAAACAAGTAGAACATTGCAATACCTGGAGCCAGCAGAAGAGAAGAGAAAGAACTGGAGAAAATCACAAAATATAAAGACCTACAAATAAAAGTAGAACGACTGTGGCAAAAGAAAGTAAAGATAGCACCAATAGTTATAGGCGCCTTAGGTGTAATCCCAAAACATCTGTAGCATCAGTTGAACACCAACGGCATTGACAAACTCACCATCAGTCAATTGCAAAAGGCAGCGTTACTTGGAACAGCTTCTATCCTGCAACGATACCTTTAACACCATCAAACAACATCTCCCTACCCCAGGTCCTTGGAAAGGACTCGATAGGTGGATAAAAATGCCAAATCCAGTCTAAACAGCTGGCTGACTGTGCAACCAACAATAATATAAGTTAATGCTTGTGTAAAGCAACAGTCTGTTTTTAGGGGGGTTGTGGGGCTAATGACATTATCTGAGACCACAAAAGGAGGTAATTGGGTCAAACAGTTTAAGAACCACTGCCTATACACTCCTGTCCCTGTAGTGATGGCATCTATTCTTTTTGTGTTGCTCTTCTTCCCCTTCTCCAAAAACAGCCAAAAAAATGTACATTTCCCTTGTTCCTACATGCTCCAGGTCGCTCCGATGAATTTTATGTCAGCTACCTTCCTTCAGATAAGGTAGCTTCTGTCATGTGTTGCTAGATTTTGGGTTGCAGTAGCTAACGTGTGTAAACATCTGAAGCTGGATCGATAATAGCTTATTTTACATGAGGTTTTTTTTTTAATCTTTTAGGGTAATGTTTACATTGTTGATATTCAGTTGTTATTTAATTTCATTCCGGTTTTTTGTGTGTCACCTTTGATTGTATTGAAATTATATCGATCTATGCTTTGCCACTTTGCACAACATTAAAATTGTTTTAATTTTAAAAATTAAAAAAATTCTACTCATTTTTTTGAAGTTGTGATTTCAGGTGTGACCTTTTTAATCAGAATCCTGAAGCAAAACTATAACCCCTGTCCAAGTGGTTTGTTTCCTATACCAGCAGGCCGGGTGGGTTCTGGATGGCGTTTTTAATCTAAAGGAGACTCTTCTTGGTTCCTTTGCAGTTACAGCTGAAGAGGAGATTAACAGAACTCTATGCCCTGAATGAGAAGGCTTCACAGTCCTTGGAGCAAGTGCGAGCGCAGCAAAAGCAAATCAGCGTAAGGAAGAAATTCTTTTTTAAATGGAAGTTCATTTCTCTTTAGCAGCAAGTAGAAAAAGGTAGTGTAGGTGGGCTGCTTCAGGTTCAATATATGGAGGCCTACCTGGAAGTCATGTGTTGTCTTTAGTGATAGATAGGTAGACAGACAGAAAAACAGATATTTGTGCTAAAGGGCTTGGGGCTTTGCCTTCAAAAACTGCCTTCTGCTGTCACCATTTACCTGAATCTTGTAATATTCTGTCATCTGAAGTTTGGTAGTGGGGAGAGAAAAAATGGAGAAGTTACAGTTCTTTCAAAATGCAAA